GATGATCTGCCACCAATCTTCTTCACCTCTTCTCCTCCCAACACTCTTCTAGCAGTTAAAATTTCCTATAGTAGAACTAGGCATGGTCCAGTTAATGCCAGACAAAAGAACATGTGCCACAAATTTGTAGTTGTCTTGCAGTGCAGGAAAAGATGTTCATTGCTTTCACCATCTTGACCACATAATGGACATTTTGAATAAATTTGAAGTCCTCTTTGTAATTTCTCCTGGGTCAAGTAAGCTTTCCTTGCCACTTATCAGACAAAGCAAGAAACCTTGAAAGGAATTTTGACTCTCCACAAGTGACAAGGACCGTCCCACAAACCTCTGGCTGCTGCCATCTCCTCCCAACGCTCAGTTTTGTCCATTTAGTGTGAGGGACATATACCCTTGTGAGACGCCAATTGAAGTCGCTGGAATTTCCACCTGCTCTCCTTTGTCTTCTTCCATGGCAGAAGTTGCCGGATTTTCCTCCCAGATCTGGATGGTGAAGAGGACACCTCCACTTTCCTCCCCTCTTATCCTGGCCCATTTCAAGTGATTCCGAAGTTGCGTCTCTTCCTCCGTATCCAACTAACCTCCACAGTTGTCTCCGATAGCTTTGAAGGCCTTTTGAGGCCAGGATTGCTAAGGTAATCCAACTAGTCTGGTCCATACTGAACTGGGTAATTCACTGTGGTTGATAGCTCCTATCAATGGTGACCACCATTGCAGCCGGATGAGGAAATTCTTCCAACACCATTCACCCTTCATAATCTGTTCTGCAGTGGATCTAAAAGCAAATTCAAAGATAAATTTGTCATCTCCCATTTTGTAGATATTCATACCATGTGCTTGCTTCCAAATAGAATTAGTCCAACGTATGACCGCTTATAAGGTGGGTGTCTTTGAGGTGTTCAAAGGAAAAGCTCCCACTAGGCATATTCCACTTTCTGCATTCCAGGAGCGGGTTATGGTTTGTCACGTAGTTTCAAATAAACAAGAAAAAGTTCCCATTTAGTGTTGTTACTCTCTTCTGTGGTAGCAGTTAAGCTAATTTATCTGCTTCACTTTCACAATTTCAAGAGTTTTCATTTGCCTCAACCTACTACTGGAAAACTACTCACCTGAAAATAATGTAGCACATTGTATCATGTGAAAAGTAACTCCTGATATGTTACTTCATTTACCTGTCAAATAAAATGTTATTATTCCAAATCAGCTTTATAACTCGGAAGTTGAACTAAAGTCTGAAGGTATACTTTGTGGGTGCTTCAATGGTGTTTTCTCCGGGTTCACTTTGTAACCGAACTTCTAACATAAATTACCATTTCACATGTTGTTTGATTTTCTCCTGATGCAGTTGAGATAAGCTCTTGTCTTCTGGTTCATTACTCTGATTTTGATCTTCCCCACATTACCTTGATTTTGCAGCTCTCAACAGCTTTGCTGAAGGCCCTCCATTTACGTTGCAAAGACTTTGTGAGGTGACAATCTTTTTTAATCTCAATTTCACATTGTTGGATATGCTAGTGCTTAATTCTACATGATTTTCCTTTAAATTTGAAGCTGTGTTTCTCTATTTCATGGAAAAAATTGTGTTTTTCTAGTATAGGAGTAGTCTTATAGCAGCTTAGTGGGAGTATGCTCAATATGAGGTGTTATTTTTAAGGGTCGTTTGGTAGAATGTATTAACAAAAATAATGCTTGCATTAACTTTGTGTATTAGTAGTACCTTGTTAATTACCTTTTTTCGTGCCATGTATAACTAATACACTCTATTGTGTAGTGGAGAGTGTATTCTTAATACCATGGATTTCTAGGTATTAGTAATGCAAAGGTATTTAATGCATGCATTAGCACTTTAAAGACACAAATACCCCTCAAAAGCACTTTAACATTTTTTTCACCATAATAGTGGAGGATATTTTTATAAATAAATACTTTTGTACAATACAAGCTATTTTTAATACGCCAAACCAAATAATGCATAAGAAATAATTTAGGTACAACTAATGCAAGCATAACTAATACAAGCATTACTAATGCAAGTATTGCTAACACTCTATTTAACATTTATTTTTATACACTCTACCAAACGACCCCTTAGTGTATTAAGTATGTTCTATTCACTGTACAATGATTCTCTTCATGCTGATGTCTGATTTCTGGTTTTCAATTAAACATTTGATATATTGTTTTTTCGTTGTCTCTAATCTTTTTGAGTAATATTGAGCAGATTTTGTTGGATGCGCGGAACATTTATTCCAAGCTGACAAAGCTTGCGTTGGCTCTAGAAAAGGTTTGATTCCGATGTGGGGCCTTATTGTGCTTATAAAGTTTCACGTTGTTTAATCTCATTGATGTAGCATCTCAACACTTTTTAACGTCCAAATCTTGAATGACAACTTTCTGAAGGAAACTCTGTAGTAGCAAGTAGCGTAAGAGTACATTACTGCTTAGTTGTCAATTGTTGGGAACTTAATTGTTAAAAACAGGGCTTCTAATAGTTTCTGAAGATCGATTGGATATGGTCTTATTTTGTAATTACTAGTTGTGGAGTATTAAGTGATGCTTTTATCTGTCTGCAGAATTTGTTAGTTACATCAACATTGACTATCTCCAGCGATCCATATACCATACAAAATGCTATAACAGAAGCAGGGACAGAAACAGAAACAGAAACGAAGGGTTCACCAGTTGAATCTAATGGAGTTGAACCTATAACGAGTGCAGGTGATGCAGATGAAGTAATGGCTGAGGTAGAAGAGGCTGAAGTTGAGGATGTTATGACAGTTGACATGGACACTATTGAAGCAATAGTTAGATCATCTGAAGCAGCAGATACTACACCTACCAGTGATTCATAATGCACTCTCTTATTATTTTCATGTCAAATACAGGATATGCAACAAGGTAGGTCATAGTTCAGTTTAATTCTGAAAATGTAGCAGTATAATTAAATGTGTGGGAGGTTAAAACATAGTCGGTTTTAACTATAATTATTGTCTTAATGGAATATATTGTTGCCTGTTTTCCCCCCTATAATCATAATTTTATACTCTATCCACCACATTTAGTCACTTGTAACCATACCTCCTGTTGGAGATACCTTATTTATTCTATTAGACATTGTAATAATGACTAATGACCTACAAGGCGGGGAGTTGAACGTAAGATTATGTTTAGACATAATCACACAAGATACTTATTAATGAGGTGTTACACACACAAAAAAAAATTATAGTTTAAAATTTACATTACAACATTTAGCCTCAAGCACAATTCCTCATACAATAATATAAATCCGGTATACAATAATATACAAAACTTTCATATATATTTTTTTTAACAAAAATACTTATAAACTTGATCTTATACACTAATATTATAATAATATATGGAAGTTGGGTTAGCTAGTTAGCTTATTAATTTAGCTTACATACACTTTTTTGAAGCACTCTTTCTCTTATTTAACTTGATTTAACAAACTTGAAATTCTTGGTCCATCAAATTGGCTTGAAACATTAACCGTTACCTTGCTTTCTTCATGACTTTATTTTGACGTTGTATAATATATACTAATGGATGGAATTAATTAATTACAATAATTATATTAATGGATAGACATCGAATAAACAAGTGTTTTGTGATATAATTATATAATTTTGATGAGAATAAAGTTTAAATCACTTGTTCCAATAAAATAGAGAAACACCATGATAACATATTCCAATTATTACTCAAATCAGCCAAACATTGGATTTAGATCGGTCAAAACAAGTTATCATGCTTCAATAAGTGTGATATAGGAGGGAAAATATTTGTTTTTGGTTGAATTTGAATTCGGTCAAAATGAGGCAATTTAATAAACGCAAAAGGGTTAAAAGTATGTTTGGATTGATTGAAAAGATTTAAATATATCATACATTCACCTATCTTCAGTCCACCTTTTGGGCTATACCATTGCTAGCAAACCTTGTTGCTCATTTGTAATCACAATTTCTTTTGAGACGCAACTAATAAACAACGTTAGACAATTGGTGTGAGTTTTATGAATTCCTAGCTACTATCCATTCTAATTTGGAATTCTCTAAGAGTAAAGGTTCTCTTCCAACACATCAATCTCTACCAGAAATAAGAACATCAATCATGTTTTATGAATTCCTACTAATCTTGCACGTTATGGTCTTTATAACAACACTTTACTATAGAAGCCAAAGTATTGGGACAAACAAGGCTGCTATAGAGACATTTGACTGACTATAGTATTAAAAAGTTACTCTATCGCCTATCGATGCACAAACGTTAAATAAACAGTAAATCATTAAACGATTAGTAGATAGGAACACATAAATATAAACTAAGACCTTGTTGCTCTCATTATCCTCCTAATGTTGGTTTTAAACTAAACACGTACGGATGATTCTTCCACAGGTAAAATTGTCATACGAACAGAAATATATATGAAAACAGGTTAGCACAATTCTTGAAATATTAATAATCAGAACATCGACATTAATATATATATATATATATATATGGGCAAAATTACAATTTCTTTTCAACTGAATAGTCCATTTAATGAACTATATAAATGTGTATTATATATCTTGTAAAACTGATGAATGCTGCAACCAATCATCAGGAATATCAACAGGGATGTCCTCGAATGTTCTATACATATCTTCCTCACTTCTAATATCATCAACTCCGTGGCCTTCTTCTACTTCCAACGTTGTCTCTTTCTTCTCCATTGTAGAAACATCATATTCGGAAGTTGTTGCCTCACAAACCCTAACTTCATCTTCCGTTGTGGAGTAGTCGTTATTATGATTAGGTTCAAGCAACAACATAGGATCAATAACCCCCGCAACATCTCCATCTTCTTCATCCATAACATGATCCACGTTCTTCTCTTTATCCATCGTTATCTTCTTCTTGATTCGACACACTACAAAATCTTCTTTAACAATATGATTGTTTCCTTAAAGAACTATCCGCAACACGATATTCTATCATCAACCAAGTTTATTTTGGCCACACTCACTTGTTTCAAACTTGAAATTTTTCTTAAACCCTACCACAAGACCCATATGATTTCTCTTTATAAGATCTTCTCCGGTTTGCCCTTTCCACGTCCCTTTAGCACAAGTTCGACAAAACCTTTTATCTTTAATCTTCCTCTTCTTCAAAGGAGTAATAAAGTAACGAAACTTCTCTTCAGAATTAGCTCCAAATATCTCCCATGGTGATTGATCTCCATATATATCCACAAACTGGATAGGACATTGTTGATTCAATGATAATTCGCCTTTGAAAAACCTCTTAAGATAGTTGATTAGCTCCGTATCAGTAGGATGAAAACGTATTCCCATTTGCTTCGACATTGATTCTTGATCCAGAATTAACCTAGCTATACTAATTATGTGAATTATGATGTCTAAACAAAGATAGTTATCTATTTATACACATCTTATTACCCTAATGGAAAAAACTCAAATTACTTAACAAACTCAAGTTACTTTATTTCCTAAATTACTACTATAACCGTAATTGAACTAACTAAAGTTACTTAATTACTACTTTTCAAGTTACTTTATTTCCTTATTTTCAAGCGCAAGTGGTTACGATAATTTGTACGAAAATTTCCTAAAGTGAAAGTTTAGTTTTCTTTTGGGGACGCAAGTGGTTACGAAAATTTATACGAAAATTTCCTAAAGTGAAAGTTTAGTTTTCTTTTGGGGGTATTTCTGGTAGAACAACCGACAAATCCATTCAAGTCTTTTAAAGACACATGGCAATTTGACCTTTTTTCTATTTTTTTTTTAAAATATCGTGTTTTATTTTTGATTATTTTCACATTAAAATGCAGGCAACATGTCTTTATTATAGTAGTTGACTGTGAGTAAAGGTAGAAATTTATTATTTTACAAAATTAAAATAAAATTAATATTAATTGTTCTGGGAAGTGAATAATACTCTCACGTCTCATATTAGATGGACATTTTTTTTATTTTATACCGTAACTAAAAAATCATTAATAGATTTATTAATTTTACCTTTTTTCCTTTGTTCATATTAGTTACCCTCCTGGAAAAAAAATTGGATCTTCAAAAATTTGTTTAAACTCATATTAATTGTAGGGTTAAAATAGAAAAAAATAATTAATTATATCTTGATATAGTAAGTGATCAAGTAATATATGACAAATATATTTAGTAAAATGTTCATCTAATTTGAGACGGAGGGAGTATTGGTTATATAGTATAGAAACTATAAGTCTGAAAAGTACAAACAAGTAATTATTGGTTGGTATTATAATTGTTCAAATCTATTGACTATTTGTTAGAAGAAAAATAATAAAGAAATTAAAGCTTTGAAGCGTGAAAGATCACTATCTTTCAAGAATTATTGGTTGTATATTCTTTAAGGGATGACAAACATTTCTTTGTATGGATACAACAAAGCATATAACATATATGCAATTGAATACTACTTTTGGAAATGCTTCGTATTTATAAATTAAATCTAATAAGGATATTTTTCATGAAGAATCACTCATTTTCTGAACAAACGTAACCTTTACTTGTTTCCTTTAGGAAAAGGTAAATATTTTTTTTAATATAAAATTCAAATATTAGATAAACAATTTGTTCAAAATAAATTACAAAAATTATGAAAAAGGAATCTTTAAATTTAATTAAAGATCTGATCCGGCTCAGTCCAAGCCCTAAGTCCAAGTCCTTGTGAAATATATTATCAAATATATATATATATATAGGTAGACTTACTCAATTAAATAGACTAAATGAGCTAGACTTTAAAAGAACCTAAAAGATGGCTTCTCCCACCAGTGTTAAAACTTTCTCTTTATATTACAACTATCTTAAGACTATTAAAACTTAAAAGGAGAGGGAAAAACTTCCCCATTCAGCCAATTGGTGGCATAATAAAAAAGAATTGGACAAATTTTAATTTGACTTTCCCTCCAAATCACTAAAATCAATTTTTTAGAGTGCATGTTTTTTGTTATACTGCTTGAAGAATATAGTTTTCTTTCTTCATGATATGTGACTCAGATTAGAGGATTGTGTTACATTTGTGGATTTGTATTACAATATTGTGGTAAATTGCTTACATTTATATTGTGATTTGTGTATTGATATTGTACCTATTCTTTCCTTGTTGAGTACATGACGTCTCTCAATAGCTAATTCAAGACTTCAATTAGGAACGTCTAACTTCAAATTCAAGCGTGAGCTATTCTTCCAGGATGTACAATTCTTCTATTGTTCTTGTCCATATTTTCGGACTAAGACATTCTTAGACTATGAGTTATTTGTTTTAAGCTTCGGCGTTCTCATTTATGTCCGACATTAAAGTTTCAGTATTGCGACTTTCACTTCTTATTGATTTATTTTCTCAACTAAGGAATTCAAGCTTCATAAAAAGAGTTAAATGAGTTTATGCTACAATATTTTAGTTAAAATTAATTTGAAAGATAAAAGATGTATGTCACCCCCCGAGCCTACACCCTGGGCGAGACTGACACTCAAGAACCATTGTTGGCCCCAAGAGAACCCTTGGCTTGGCTTACTACTCAATGGAAGACTTAACTTAACAAAGATAAACTTATATAAAAAACTAGAATGTTATAAAGAAAACATTCAACTAGCCAATAAGGCAAACTCAAGTCTTAAAACAAACAAATGAATGAATATGACTAAAGAACTCATATCTAACTGTCTATGAAGCCTCTTGATACTAAGAGGAATGTCGGGACAAGACCCCCGATCATCCTAACAACTGAAGTAGCCAAAAGCAATAAAACAAAACATAACCAAAAGGATCCTCCGGAAAGCAAAGAAGCACCACCAGACTCTGAGATTCTCGACTGGATCAACGAGGCGCTGGATGCTGATCCTGATTACCTTCATCTGCATCATAAAACGATGCAGGCCAAATGACATCAGTACATTGAATGTACGAGCATGTGAGGGGAAAACTAAACATGACATAAGTTTGAAATGAATTCTGAACGAAACACTTACCTCAACTCTACTCAACTCATAGATACTCAACTCAATGCATAAATAAACAACAGTAAAGATGCAGTTTATGTAAAGCATTTAAAACAACAAGTAACAACTGAATATACATATATAGTATATAATTTTGTAGGAGTTTCTACCTCTAACTGACAACCATCACTATGAGCTAAAGTGATGATACAAACGTCTCACCCACGCTGCCAGAATTGTCCTATAACTTGATGTGATATAGAATGCCTCAACTAAGTGGATCCACTAGTCTATGCTAAAAAGCACTAAAGAATCAGCTAAAAAATATGACCCTTTCTACCCACGATGGCTACATGGTTTATGGAGACATTGAGTTGTTATGAACTCGTCCCCACATGTATCATGACCCAATCCACCGGGCCGTGCGGAAACCTACATACTACCACCTAAGTAGGAGAATCCTTATATCCCAATAGTCAAACATACGGAAAATTAAAGAAAACGGATATAAATGCAATAACAAGATATTATAAATAATAACGTTTTAAACAATTTCAAGTTAAAACTTGTAAAGTAATTAACACCCCTAAGAATCTAGTCTAAACAGGTACAAGAGCTACTAAGAGTACAAACTTGATATATTAATGAAACGACACAGCTCCCACCATGCGGAAGGAAAATAGAAGCTGCTGGAGAATTTCTCCGTCTTCACCTAATAAAACATCACCGACCCTGCAACCAGACTATGCCAAAAAGGCATAGCAAGAGTAGTATCAGTACAAAACCACATGTACTGGTAGGCATCATCGGTTAACCCAACGCCCACCGCATAATATAAGAATTCAACTAACAAGAACATGCAATAAACCACTCGCTTCTCCACCTTTACCCTCTCTCGAAATACCTCAGAATTATACTAGTACTCTTACTACTAACCACCTTCTCATTCAACCTACTTATTAGATTCTTGATCATAGCCTAACCATTCTAACGCATAGAAGAGTCGACAATTACAACTACAAGCATTCCGACTAACCACTCACGACATACCCTTACCCAGCCTTGGCCACATGGTACATTATATCAAGCTTTCTAACTACCAATCACGAATCCCTTTCTCTAAGTTGAAATCTACCTTAGTGTGCCGTACGTGACACCCGATCCCATGTTTATGCCGGTACGTGGCAACCGATCCAAGTTAGTGTATCAGAACGCAACACCCGATCCAATCAACAAGCTACAACCACAATCACAAGTATATTCTCATAATCATACAATCAAGTAACGATTCATGGCATTCATCGTTCAACTATCTCATTTACAATTAGTGTGATCAATAATGCAACATTCACATACATACACATATTATATTGAAGCAAGAACAAACATCCATCACACAACATGAAATCACAACCATCACAATGAAGTATTCATCAATATATATCACTAAGAAAATAGCTCAACCATATTTAGCCCTAGTTCATCATCTAAGGCCTCTTCCTATGATTTAATCATCTTTTATTTGGTTCTCAAAGGCCTACACATAAATCCTACCATTAATTATCATTATACAACGCAGTGGGCTCAAATTTATAACTACTCAATTAATAAACCTAGCATACCTGGGCTCCAAGCAACTGCATGGAGTTTTTGCCTTCGATTCTTGTTTCTGGACTTTATGACGGTGAATTTGGCCACAAATCCGCAATCTATCGATCTCCTTACGCTAGAAATCTCCTTCTCCTTCCTTCCAAAGCTTTGAGCAGATTTTGGGGGGTTTCTAGGGTGGTTTACGTTTAAATTAGGTGTTTTAAGAAGAAGGATAAAATAAGGTTTCACGTTATTTACATTCTTTCTCGCCTATCCTGCTGTGGCGCCAGCTTACCCCGTCGTGGCGCCGCCGCCCTAGTGGCATATGGCCCGACCTGGTGGGACAGTGGCCCAGTAATTTCCTGAAGTTTTGCTTTTCCTAAATAACGACGGTTCGGGTCGTTACAATATCGGTGATCAATACTACTCCAAAATACTCAGCTCAAATGTTTTAAAAACAAAAGATCTTTCTGTGGTTTGAGATAATTACTCAAAAACTAGCTCAAAAACTCTCTTGAAATCAGTGTTTCCTCTCTTGTTTAAATGTAAAAACATTTACTCTTTGGGAATACTTAGTTCCCATATACTCTTTTTGAAGAAATGAACTTCATTTGTTACTCTTACTTAACTCAAAACTCAAGTCGTAAAACAAGTTTAAAATATTTGTACAAGACTTCTTGAAAATACTCTATGAACTTTCTAGACTTGGCTCTTAACTTTCCTTGAATTTGAATTTATGGATTCAACGTTATGATTCACGTTTATGGATGTTTTCT